TATATATATATGTATATACAGACATATACAGACATATATAGACATGCATACATACGCACTCTAGACCGAGCGCCCGGAAAGACGTCACTCAGATATTCGCGAGCAGACCACACCCTCCTCCAAGCAGGCCACCAAACAAAAAAAAAGACAAAAACAAAGGCAAACAAAAATCACCCCTGGGTTTTATGGCCATGCCGGGTTCAGGATTTAGGGAAGAGTAAGTTGTTTAGAATTTAGTGTCCGGAGGTCCTGAAGCCACAAACCACAGCACTCCAATGTGTCGCCGCCCATCTACCGTCGATCGCTGAGAATCCGATGAGTTCCCGGGAAAATGCAAAGTTCAACACTCCAAACAAAAAATAACACACAATGTCTTGAAACGGCTAGACGCACAGGAACCACTATACTTCTCATCCAAGAAGAAATGAGGATAAACACGATTGAGGAGGAGTCAAGTGGTAACCAGAAAGAATCATTAAAGAAGACATTACGTAAAGAACCCTCTTTGCCGGCCGGTGAGCTGTGGTCTCCCACCTGACCAGCGCCATCTCAGCGAGAAGCAGCGGGCAGAGCTGCCAGCAGCCTGCCTTCGGTGACTTGGAACCGTGAGTTTTGCGGGGAACCCTAAGCAATCACCATGCCAACCCGTCAAGGACAACAGCTTAAGGCCCAGAACGAATCACGAGCCACCTGAACTATCCCATCCAATCGCAAGTTCCACGGCACGTCGCAACAACGAAATCGGTGTGTTGTTTTGGTTGTGAGACTGGCTAACCGTTGAAATATGGTCGGATACACCCCCGCCCCGCAGCAAGACTAACGGTTGCCGACTCAGCTACAAAGTTACCTAAGCCCTAACTCCAAACACCAAACACCCAAACCCTGAACCTTCAATCCCAAACCCTAAACTACCCCAAACTCCCAAACCCTAAACCNNCCCTAAACCTTCAACCCAGAACCCTAAAAGCCGAACCCCTAAACCCTAAAACCTTCAACCCTAAACCCTAATTTAGGGTTGAGTAAGCCCTCAACCCTTAACCTTCATAAACCCTAAGCTCCGGTACGCTACTCTTTTTCCCAACCCCAGGACCACAGAAAACTCAAAGACGTGCTTCAGGAAGGAATGCAGTCATATCCAACCACGTTGATGATCCCTTTAGAACTTGGGATACATCTTTAGATCAAGAGACGCTACCTTAGTGTCATGACTCTCTCAGGGGCTTTGGAGAACTGCGCCTTCTGACACGCCGAGATGGCTCCGTTGAAACCTGTTATCAGGGCCAAGGGTCAGGATCGAGAGGCATTTTTTGTTCAAATGTTTAGGGTTTAGGGCTCAGGATCTAGAGGGTTTAGGGTTTAGGGTTTAGGGCTAAGGATCTAGACGGTTTAGGGTTCAGGGTTCAGGGGTAGTTATAAGTGGGGGGGTTATAAGTCCCCTTTTATGGCTCATAAGTTAACACTATGGGTATCCTACTTATGCCCAACCATGAACCTCCAAGTAGAAGGACTTGCGGCTGAGGGTTGAAACCCTAAACCCTAAACCCTAAACCTTGAGGGCTTGGGGGCCTAGGCTTAGGATTTAAGGCCCCGAACCCCTAAACCCAAAGCAAGGCTTGGGTTCAATGTTTTCGGGTGTAGACCCGCTTCTGTGGGCTTACTGCTGAGACCTTCAGATGTAGGCGAGCCGAGTTGGGGCTACTATCGGGGTTTAGGGTTTAGGGCTTTAGGGGTTAGGGGTTTAGGGTTTAGGGCTTTAGGACCTTCATGCACTAGATGCACCGTGCCACCCTAGTCTGGGCTCTTGTTGAGGAACTTACCTTAAGTTACCACTGTAGGCAGCCATATCAGTTGCTTAGATCCCCATAAGAAACTTAATGCCCGACAAAAACCCAGTATTCTGATGACTCATAGATTGCCTCGCAACTCAATGCTTCGGTTCAGAACCGCGCACAACTCCCAAAAGCATCCATCTCAGCCGAACTCCCTGCAAAAGAACCCTTACAAGAAGCCCAAAACCTTGGCTCATCCCAAGCCCAACACGAGAGAGGCGCAAGCCCAGCCAGGTCAAGCAGGAGCCCTCCAAAGCACCAGATCCCTTCATGAAGGAATCTAGGTTAGGGTATAGGGTGACGGAATCTAGGTTTAGGGTATAGGGTGAAGGAATCTAGGTTTAGGGTATAGGGTGACGGAATCTAGGTTTCTACGACATAGAAGCACCTTGGGCCAAAACCACAAATAATCGTGCAGCTAAACCCCGCTGGGTTTACGACATAGTACAACTGAAATTAGGCTGGCCCTTTTCTTCGTAGAGAAGGTCCTCTTCGCCCCAAGACAGGAAAATCAAAACATGTCCAAGGCCTACCTAGGATTACAGTATACGTACCCTAAGACGCAAGCCCTAAAACCTGAACTTTAAACAATGATAAGACTAAGAAGACCCCGGTACCCAAAGTCCGGCTTATGTCTTAACTTGAAGGGGCATCTGCTCTGAACCCCTAAACCCTAAACCCACAATCCTTCAGTCAGGATGTTTGGAATCTCTGGGTTCATTTATAGAACTTGCAGGAAACCTTCAATACCAAATTGAACCCTTCACAAACCCGAAACCCCCTAAAAAACCCGAAACTTTGAGGGCTTAGGTTTTAGGGCTCGAGCCCGAAGCCGAGCTTCAGGGTTTCGGGTTCAGGGTTCAGGGTTTAGGTTTAGGGTTTAGGGTTTAGGGTTAGGTTAGGGTTAGGGTTAGGGTTAGGGCTAGGGTTAGGGATTAGGGTTTAGGTTTTAGGTTTTAGGGCCGGGTGGATTCCTGTCTCCTTGTTGAGCCACGTCACTGATCTCGTTGGCCGGCGAGCCGGCGGCAGGCATGGCAAAGAGAAGCTCCACAGCCCAGAGCCAGCGCCGGCCCTTCAGGGGGGGTTCCTACAAGGGCTCCTTTAAAGGGATCTATATAGGTTCCTATAAGGGCTCCTTTAAAGGGATCTATATAGGTTCCTTTAAGGGCTCCTTTAAAGGGGGTCAAAGGCAACTACAGGTGGGGAGTTTAGGGGATCTAGGGCTCATTGAAGGGGCCCTTAAAAAGGGCCTCTTAAAAGGATCTATAGGGTTTAGGGTTTAGGGTTTAGTTGGGGAGTTTAGGGTATGTAGGGCTTCTATAAGGCTTCCATAAGGTATATAGACCTTCAATAAGGCTCCTATAACTGTAACTACCCACCTGAATATGTCCTAGAGGGGGGGTGAATACAAGGGCCCCTTTAAAGGGGATCTACAACTGTTGCTTTAAGGGTTCCTTTAACGGATTAACGGAAGGGATTCCTGTAGGTCCCCTCAAAGGGGTTGTTAAGGGGTTGGTTCCTGTAGGGGTGTAGAGCCCTAAGCCCTAAGCCCTAAATTTGCACCAACACCGAAAGCCTGTAGAGTTTGGGGGTTTGGGGTTGGGGCTGTGGCGGAGGGGAGTTTTCTTCGCAGAATCTGGGGACTCGGCATGTAGGCAGTTCAACAGGGCTTTGCGGTGGCTTGCAAAGCATCTGTAGCTGTGTAGGTGCACTCACTCTTTACGATCAGGGTTTGGGGTTTCGTAGGAGTTAATAGTTACCTGTACTATGTTTTGGGGGGGCTCCTTGTTATAAATAATACAATATACCCCAAAACCCTATTCTAATTATTAAGGCCCCTACATCAAAAACAGTCCTTCTCGCAAGCGCTTAGGGCAGCGCTGAACGAGATCCTGAGCTGCCAGTCGGGCTCGAAGGCAGCGAGAGCGAGGTCTTAGACGTTGAGGTTTAGTTTAGGATTTAATTGATGTAGGGGCCATAACAAATAGAATAGGGTTTTGGGGTATATTATACTACTTTATAATAAGTAACCCCCCAAAATAGTATAGGCAAATATTAAGGCCCCTATATGAATCTAGTAGGAACCTGATCCCTCACAGCTAGCAAAAACCCATGGTTTCCTATGCCGGTTTCTGCGTTAGTGTTTGGCTTTAGGTAAGACAAAACAGAAATGACACTAACAATACCAATCGCAAAAATAGCAAATGATAATGACGTAATAATGGCAATAACAATAATATTCATTAACCATGATTATACTTGCAATAATACGATAAAGAATAAAGACAACAAGAGGGGTTTAGGGTTCGGGGTGAACTCCCCAACAAGGACACTTCGGACTCGCACAAACTCAGAACCCCAAGCCGACGGCAAAGCCTCCGAAACCCTGGGCCCAGGGTGCGGGTTTAGGGTTTAGGGCTTCGGAGTCAGGTTTTAGGGTTTAGGGTGTAGGAGTTAGGTTTCAGGGTTTAGGGTTTAGAGTGTAGGAGTTTGGTTTTAGGGTTTAGGGTGTAGGAGTTAAGATTAGGGTTTAGGGTTTAGGGTTCAGGGTTCAGGGTTTACCCCCAGTTGCAAACTCCGTTCTTCACACTGCTGCCTGGAAACTGTAAGCCCTAAAGCACTAAGCCCCAAACCCGTACACCTAATGATTTCTATGCACCAAGCTACGACCGCTTGAACACTAAACTACCCAAGCCTGCCACCTGACAACGAAGTTAATTAAAGCTTTCAGCTTCAAACCCGAGACGAATCGAACACCCCAAACCCCCCCCCCAATCTTGCATAACCCTATGGTATCCCTTATTGAACTATTTCGCACCCTACATAAGCCCCACACAACCTTGCAAACAACGTATAGAAACCCTACAAGGAAACCCCACTAAAACCATGTAAATCATCCTCTTTCTGCACCTTTACCCACAGTCTCCATTGTAGTTCCTTTTTGGGGATACCTTATAGGACCCTAAGTACAAACTTGCCGAAACCACAACAGAGCAAATTTCAACAAACCCTTCAAGCCCAAAGAGCACATCCGCCCGGAGGCCACGGCGCTGTAGGGATCCCAGCAGTTGCCTGGCCCTTTGCCACTGACGACCCTTCTCCTGGGTCTGAAGCGTTTTGGTTTTCAGGTGTTTCATTTGGGGGCTTTTGGGTTCCGAAGATGTCAACCACTGTTTGGGGTTAAGGGATTAGGATTTTAGGGGGTATAGGGCTTCGGGTTTAGGACTGAGGATTGTTCTGGGCCTTGCAGGCCTTGGACATCCGTACTGAAGGAACGAAGTCCAGGGCAGCTTTTGATGACGATCCTTCCTGTAAGAAGGGTACTGGTGGGCAGCCAAATAGATTTTAATAGATATTTAGGGTTTACTGATCAGGAACAGGCTTCTCTATTCATGCGTTAAGTTTCCAGCACCCCCAACACCGACAACCCAGCGAACTTAGGGCTACAATAGTGACGGCGAAGACTTCTGCCACACTCCTTCATCCACACCCGGCGCCAACGTTCCACTCCACAAGCACCACCACCACCACGGCGACAATAGTCGTTCCTGCTGCTGCTGCTCCTGCGGCTACGCCTAAAGCAATGGCTGCAGGTGCAGTTTCGGCGGCAGCTGCTCCTCCTTCTACTCCGACTCCTACTGCTCCTGCTGCTCGTCCTACTCATCCTGCTAGTGCCACTGCCACTGAATGACTACTACGACGACCACCACGACCGGGCCCAAAACCCTAAACCAAAAACTCGACATCCCTAAATATGTAAAGAAGCCCAAGTAACCAACAACAAACACCTAAACATCGGAACGAGCCTGATCACCTTGCGAGCTGGGATTCGCAAGCACTGATGGCAGCATTCAAGACGACCTGGGATGCTCTGGTAGCCAAAGATTCGGTGTTAGGGTTTAGGGTATAGGGCTGCTTAAGGATATTTACAGGGTTTGGGACTATTTCAGGTTCTTCAAGTTTAGGGCATTTGGGGTTATTTAGGTTTAGGGGTATCTAAGATAATTTAGGTTTGGGGTTTTCAGCTATTCAGCTCAAGGGTTTCGGGTTATTTAGGTCTCGGGTTTGGGGCGGTTATTTAGGGTTGGTTTGGGGGTCTTGCAATCAAAAATTTGTCTTCGGGCTCAATATAAGGCCTTAGCTTGATAAGCATTAATAATCAGCATAGGGTTTTGGGGTGTTTGATATCATATTGGCTTGTCTTCGGCTTTCGGCGAACTTGGTATAGGGCCTGAATATCTGAACTTGAGTCTTGGAGTAGGGCTTATAAGGTTATACTATGTGCGATGAGTTCGATCCTTACATTCGGCAGTGTGTAAACCATGTCGGGCCCTTGTGAGCTCAGGCAATCCTTCCACGGAGACCACCCATAGCCCCAAACATCCAAACAAACACTTGCCAAGAGATCCTCCAAAATTTGACCAAGTGGCCTTAAACCCAATCAGAAAGCCCCGTATTATTCAGGGTATATGGGGGAACTCTCTCAAACTGGGATCCTTGTGGGTGTCCTTACTGAACGCGTACCGTAGTATTTTGGGGAAAGTAAAGCGGGACCCTAATTTAGAGAACTTCTCCCTAAACTCTACGCCGTAGACCCCTAAACCATAACCTATTCCTACATTGCAAGGGCAACCTGGGATCACTCGGAACCTTTCGAAACGACTCAAACAGATCCCCAGCGCTTTCCGTCCCTAGCCCGATAAACCCCCAGTAAAACCAGATTGAACCTTTTTAAGCCCTATACTACCCTGTAAGCCTACACCAAAACAAAACATCCCATACAAACGCCCCCTAAACCCTAATCCCTAAACCTTAAATGAGCCCTCAACTTCCCAAGGCCCCCCCCGAAAGCATCAACAAATCCGACCTCGTTGGGCGTGGTGGCCGCCTCCTCCATGTCGGCCAGCTGGAAAAGCGCTGCCCTCCATTCTCCCGCCTTTTCCTGCGAGGGTTTGAGGTTTTGGGAAGAAGAAGGTTTAGGACCCTAAACCCTAAAGTTTAGGATTTTCTGATGTCCTGTGGTTTAGGGGCTTGGTCTTCGTAGCCCTTTGTGCTCAATCCAGGGCTGTTGGAGAAAAAGTGTGGGAGCTAGCGAAAAAAAAACATCTCTTGGATGAAAACTAGCCAGAAACCCCAAACTCTAATCCCTTTGGGGCTTAAAGTACTAGGAGATAGGGAGAAAGAAGAGATGAGCAGGAGTCATCTGTCTGGTTTTCGCGTCTTTGTGTTGACAAGACAGGACATGGTGTATGGTTTAGAGTGATAAATCACTCTTGGGTTTGGGGTGATGAAAACGTTTCGAGGTTAGGGTTGCCAACAGGTTTAAGGTTTAAGGCACCAAGACGGCTCAGGGCGTAGAGGCATCCGACAATATGTTTTTGCACATTAAAAGAGATAGCTCCACCCGGAGAGCCAGATGTGGATCAGACAGGGCTCCTCAGCGTGAGGTACATTACATAATGTCCGATTTTTCCTGTGAACTAAGGGGCAGAAATGAGGTTGCTGGATTTCGGGTTCAAGGGTTTAGGTGTTGGGTTGTAGGGCTGAAGTTCGGGGGTCTTAAACTTTAGGGTTTTCGGCCAGCTTAATGGGGCTGAGGCTTTAGGGTGATAAAAACTTGGGCTTGCTGGGATTGGAGTCCAAGTCTCCGCTGCGCTCAGCGCTGCCGATCGACTCATCCTCGGGCTTCCCAGAAATCAGAGATTCCAAAATCCTTTAACAAAGGAATAGAACTGCAACTATAAAGTCTATGGTTTATGTTACCCTAAACCCCAAAACACCTCCATACAGGAATCTGCCATAAACTAACAAGATGGGGCTTCAAATCACAGGATAGCTTCAGCTATATTCCTTTCTCTGAAGCAATCAGTTTTCCCGAGACTACGCCAAAACCCTTTCGCTAAGCAAGATACCTGATTATTCAGGAATGTAAAGCAGGGCCGCGTATGGTGGTTAGATTTGTAAAGCCCTACACCGTAAACCACAAACAAAGACCCCTGTAAAACACCGAGGCCCTGATCTTAATGAAAACGACCTGCGCCCTAAACCCTAAACCCTATGTATACACGCCCTCAACAAAGGCAACCCCAAAGCCCCCAAAACCCTCAAGCCTAAACCCGAGGGTGTTGGAGGGTAGAGTCGAAGATTCTGGAAGAAAGACGCTCCAGGGCTGAGGTTGGCGGTGCAGGAGCGGTAAGAACACCATGCCTATCGAGGGAGTCCTTCGCGTACTCCTGCGTATAAGTCGAATGCTACTCAGCATCGAGCCGTGGATGAGTCGAATGCGCTCTTCCTCGTCCGACATGTCTGCCCACGCGATATTGCCGGACACCACGGTCAAGTTGGCCATGACTTCACCTCGACAGCAACACAAAGCCGGGCGGGGTATAATGATAGCGGCGTTTATAAGACAAAGTTGGCTTGAACTTGGAATGATCTCAGGATTTCTTGCTAGAGGTGCACGGTTGTCTCACTTTCACATGTTGCAAAGGCCAGCCCTATGCATGCTGAGCCAACCTCTTCAAAGTCTTCCTGCACCTTGCGAGATTTGGGCTGTGACTGCGCATTTAAGAATCTACGATTGCATATCTCCATAATGTACGGGCTTTCATCAGGCTTTGCTACGGCTTAATAGCTGCATGGATGCTTAACATCAGGGGTAGCTTGCGTGGTGGGCTCTAACTCCTCCGCACCACGCTTCGTGCCGAGACTGCTGAATGGACCTTCGTTCCACAGACGGATCACCCGCCAGGCTGCTGAATTGACCACAAGCGCGAGGAGGTTCTCTTGCAGGACTGTCGTGCTGAAAGCATTCCCAGCCATGTCCTTGGCCAATGTAGGTTTGCGCGCCAAGCTTTCCACGACCTCCGGATGAGCGAAATCCGTGGGGAAGATGCCTTGCAACATCAAATGCTCCATGGCAAACAGGAAGCGACCCAGCCGGAGTAATGCACTCGGGTGCTTGGACGGAGGCAGGTGGCCATGCCCACGGCATGCTCCTGCTCCTGCTGCGAGGAAACAGCAGGGTCGAAGAACAAGTCCTCGAAGTCCGCCCGCTGCAGCCTGTACTTTCGCAACAGATCGTCGATGCGTTTTTTGCATTGTAGTGCTCCGAGAACAGGACGTGGGCGGTCCATGTAAAACCTTGCTCCTCCATGTCCTTGCCTATCGGACGCAGGCCGTGAGGTGCAGTGCCCCAGACCACCACAGACCCCCAACTCACCCTCCCCCAGCCACGTTCTCCGACAGCACAAGCTGTTTGCGGCCGTGAGGCGCGGTGTCCCAGGGCACCACAGACCCCCAACTCACCCTCCCCCAGCCACGTTCCCCCGACAGCACAAGCTGATGTCAGATTGCGGCCAAGTTAGATCGCACTTGAGCATAGCGGGACAGCAAGAGCCAGAGTAAGGCGAGGAGCAGCGCCAGTCAAAGGAGGGAGGAGAGAACAGCATCAAAATTGAAGAAAAGCAAAAATTGAAAGAAGGTGGAGAGAGGCAAAAGAAAAAAAGGCAGTCAAGGGAGCAAAGCAACGAGGGAGGACAGAACAGAAGAGCAACAAGAGGAAAAGGAGAGCAGCACTTTGAACAAAAATGGGGAAAGGCAAAAGGGAGCAGAAAGGACAGTGAGGGAGCAACGGGAGGAGAGAAAAGCATAAATTTCGAAGAGAGCAAAAAACATTGAAGCAGAGCAACAATTGCAATTATGGCAAGGGAGGAAGGGTCGAAGCAACCATGCAAAGAGTGAGAGATAGTGAGAGCGGGGAGAAAACTTCGAAATCGAGGCCAGGATGCAAAGCAAGTTTGCAGTGGATGACATGGTAAACGGGTGGAGACCAAATTTTAGGAGCAGAGTGGAGACCAACTTTGAAGGTGAAACAACAAAAAATGCAAGGAGATGAACTTTGAAGTCGAAATCAAAACAAAACAGAACCAGATCGAAAGAAAACCAAAAATTGGAGCAACAGGAGAAAGAGATAAGACCAAATTCAAGTTTGAAAAAGAACGAGTTGTGCAACACATCTGCACCGTTTTGATTGCACGAACAAAGTTCAAAAGTTCTAACTTTGAGATGTTCCAACTCCAACTCTGTGAGTACCCTAGCACAAAAAAGGGTTAACCTTTTCAATTATGGTAGGGTTATAGTAAACCACAAAAAGTTGGAAAACGGATTCAGGACAAATCGTGCTGGGATTCCCTTACATTACTCTTAAGGATTGAGGCTATTGGGTTTTCAATTATATAAACCCAAAAGGTTTAAGGTTACCCACTCAGACTAAGCTCCTTTTGCTGTCGACCCCTCCCCCTTCTCTGAAGTTTTGGTCTCGACCCCTTTCCAAACGGTTTAGCGTTTAGGCTTAGGGTGTCAAAGGCCTTCCCTCGAGATTTGGTCGAGATTCTAGGTTTCACGCTTGGTCCACAATTGAAGTTGGAACAGAAGGGGAGTTGGAACATGCACTTGGAACATGACAAAGTTGGAACGCGAAGATATGGAAAGTTGGACCATACCGTCAGGACAATTGGGTGCAGGAAATCAGGGCGTGCATGTTCCAACTCCACGGCTTCCACCATAAAACCCTAAACCCTAAACCCTAAACCCTAAATCCCTAAAACCCTATACCCTAAAACCCTAAACCCGAAAACCCTAAACCCTAAAACCCTAAACCCCAAGCCCTAAACCCCTCAAGACTTCTGATCCCGAAGCCGAGATGCAGCTGCGGCTTTGTCTTGGAAACGGCCATGGCCGAGACTAGCTGCATGGCTGCCTTGCGCCACGAACAAAGGGCTTGGGGTTTAGGGGTTTTGGGTTTAGAGGTTTGGGGTTATACTTTACGTGGTCTTGATAATTTCATCTGCATGGCTGTACGGGCTTAGACAAGGAGTCAAGGAGTCTATAGATAGGGCAGGTAGAGGTTTGCCGTTTCATGTGTCGCAGGGTCCCATGTCTCTCATCGTGCTTCCTTCCGGGGCTTCTCGAAGTTGTTGTTTTGTGTTGGGGGATGTCCAGACCAGCCCATGGGGTGCATGAAACTACGTAGGACTCGAAAACCACAGCAGTTAAAGGCACATGAGGTTCAGGTTCAGGGTTCAGGGGCTCTCAGGATTGGGAGTTGCAAGACTTCCTTGACTGTGAGGCCACCGCCTGCCACTCACCACTGTCTTCGCAAGCACTGATGACGGTGGTGAAGCTGGTCTCATCCGGCATGGCCTGTGGACGCCAATGCGTGATGCAGCAGTTTCGGGATGCTTTGGATTTGAAGAAGCAACCCTTAACCCTAAACCCTAAACGAAACCACCCACAGCTGTGTCTTCCCCAAGCTTCGTTCCTCCCTCCATAAAATCTTGTTAAGGCAATGCGCACCAGGCGTCTGACGTTTACGCAGTTCTGCGTGGACTGTTAAAAAGAAGTACCATGTAGTGGCACTGTGCTCAGTTATGGGCTGATGCAGCTTTGCCGGACGCTTATGCGCGATGTGGGAGTTTCCGAAAAATAAGGGAGTATCTTATTTTGGGGTCCTTATAATATGGATCCTACTATTTGGGGTACTATATTAGGGTCCCCTATTTTCGGAAACCCCCATATGTTAGCTGTGCCGCATGGTACTTGCACGTGAGCATTCAAGATAACACTGGCTAAACTGCTGCTGTTGCTGTCCTGTCTTGTTATTGAGCTTACTCTTCGTCTTCTTAGCCTGTACAACCCTAGTAAACCACTTTAAAACTCGATACAACCCTCGTAAAAAAGGCACTATGAAATCCTACGCCAACCTTATAAATAAACTCCAAAGCCCGATACACGCCTTGCAAAAAAAAAACCTATGAAATCCTGTGCCACCCTTAATCGCGGAACTCCAAAGCCCGATACAACACTAAACCCTAAACCCTAAACCCTATTATTAAACTCCAAAAGCCCCCCTCCAACCCTGTAAGAATCCTCTCACCCTAAACCCTAAACCCTATTATTGAACTCCAAAGCCCCCTACAACCCTGTAAGAATCCTCTCCCGTCGAGCGGCCATGCTTGCCAGCAGGGCGACGGCCAGACGCCAAAGGCCGGCCACCTGCCCCGAAACCCCCAAAACCCTAAAACCCGAAACCCCAAAACCCTAAACCTCAAGGGTTTAGGGTTTAGGGTTTAGGGACCCTAAACCCCAAGCCCGAAACCCCGAACCCCAAACCCTAAAACCTAAACCCCAAGCCCGAAACCCCGAACCCTGAAACCCGAAACCCCAAACCCGAAACCCCAAAGCTTTTTAAAGTTCCAAGAGGGTTGCAATACGGAATGCGAGTTTAGGGTTTAGGGGAGTGTCAGGGTTACTATACAGGAGTTGTCGGGTTCATGGTGAGGGCATCAGGCTATCCTTGCGCACCTACTGTATACCCTACATGTACCCGTAAGGGTCCCCGGAAAGGCCTAAGGGTCCATATTAAGGACGCATACTTCTAACCTTAGCATATTCATAATGAAGAGCCGTACGGAATAATGATGGTTGTTACTCAGGCTCTTACATCAAGCCCCAGCCCCCAAAAACCGCCTATGCTTACGGCGCCATGAGCTGCCATGAGCGGACGCCGAAGCGAATCGAGTTTAGGGTTTAGGACATCCAGTTTAAGGTCGAAGATTTCGGGTTTGGGGTTCACGATTTCCCTGTAGCTGCATTCGCGCGAGTGAGCTCCGGTCAAGCATTTGCCGAAAGGCCCTGAGCCCTAAACCCTAAACCCTACCCCCTAAACCCGAAACCCCACCAAAGCCCTAAACCCTAAACCCTAAATCCTAAACCGTAGACCCCAAACCCTAAACCGTAGACCCTAAACCCTAAACCCCCCTAAACCCTAAGCCCTAAACCCTCAACCCCAAATCCTCAGCCTTCGGTTCCTGGCCTGGTAACCATTGAGCACAGTGTTGGAGGTGATCTGATCTGGCGCGACCCGGAGTGCTTGCATCGCCTCGCCAAGGAAAACGTCGAAGTGATGGTGTAACAGTAATATGGGTTTTTTTTTAGTAATATAGGGTTTAGGGTTTAGGGCTTAGGGTTTGGGGTGGATAATTACAATGCTGTTTTGGCTCCTCTTCGGATTATTCCCAAGACACTCTCATCCCTATAGGAGGCAATGCCACCGTCTGGACCGCACTGAAGTTGCCATCCCAACATCCCGATTATCTGTACCTCCTGACGGCCGAAACCCGAAACCTTGAACCGCCAATCCATACACGCCAAACCCAGAACCCGAAGAAAGATAAATATTAGAGTTTGCTGCCCGGTCTCGTCGAAGAGGTGCAAGGTCAATTGCCACTGCCCGGCTTTCGCACAAGCGCTCGCCTCCGCAGCGCTGGCGCTGGCAATGCTTTTGGTGAGCTGGGTTTAGGGTTGAGGCTTGATCGGCGATAAGCTGTTCATGACCCGATGGTTGCCGAGGCTAGATGCAGTCGGAACAGTTATTTTGGGGGGCATAATCACAATACCGAGCCCTGTGGAACTGTTTTGGTTGGGTACTGCCCCCACCCTACAACAGTCTATGTTAGGGCGTCATAGTGGAGGCCATATATATATATATATAGTTAGTTAGTTAGTTTCCCTATAATCAAACACTATCTAGCTGTTGCAGAGTTGGGGCAGTACCCAATATGTTGAGAATTACTCGGGCTTCTATATTCGGGCCTTCATACTCAGACTTACTCAGACTAGGATCTTTGACAGAGGTGGTGGCGTTGTCGGTACCGTTTCGAACTACTACCGAAACACCAAAATCCACCCAAATATGCCTACGCACCCCTGCTGCATCTCCTAAATGCCCTAATCAAGCTGCACAAACTCCACAATGAGCAACGCAGCCCCAGCACTTGCCTAAAAGCACTCCAGAAGAGACCCAAACCCAGCATCTCCCGGGTTCTCTCAGCCTCTACATGCACAGCTGCGGCATTGGGATAGTACAAGGGCTTCACATCAGAAAGCTCTCATCAACGAGGGTTTGGAGTACAAGCCCCAGGCACTCCACATTTCCGGCCGAACCTAACCCTAAACCTTAAACCCTAAAGCCTAAACCCTAGCCCATGAATCCCTTCACGGGCTTTCGTAAGTAGACCAAGGTTCTGGGGTAAGATGCACTGCAACTAGATCCAGGAACCTTAGCACAAAGTGTGGCAGTTATTCTGATTCAGGTCCCTTTGCAAATAAGTAATGTTAAATATAGGTAAACATATACGTATAGATACATACATATACATATATATATATATATGTATACAATACTGTATACATGTACATGTACATGTACACATGTATATACACATACCTATACACACACATATGCATATACATAAACATATATATATATATACATACATACACGTATGTATATATATATATATATATATATATATCAGCGATTGCCACAAATCTTAAATCCTGGTCCCGAGCCAACAAGCCCTAAAGCCCTCATAAGAACGATACAACACCGTTTTCAAGCCCCATAAACGCCCTACAGCACCTGAAACCCTCCTCCTAAACCCTAAACCCGAAGCCCTCGCTGAAACACAACCGCAAATTCAATCAACTCTATATACCCTACACCCTAAACGCCGAACCCTAAACCCTGAAACCCAACCCTAAACCCTGAACCCCAAACCCTGAACCCGTCATCCCAAGATCGTCTGAAGCCCAGGCTCCGTGGCGTTGAAAGTGACGACGTTTGGGGCTGCGGTGTCCATGGACAGAATCGCAAGAGCTGAGGGCCATGCCTAGGATCTATGCTTTGGAAGCAGGACTGCAAGAGCTGAAGGCCATGCCTAGGATCTAAATTGACTTTGTGGGCTTTCTTCGAAATTGTTACGGGGTTCTATCGGATCTTGTACAGTTTTCTAGGCTGTTCTATGGTTCTGTGGTTTCACGGAATGCTAGAGGCTCTTGGGTTTTCGGGGTTTAAGGCTAGTACAGAACGCAAGTCTTGTTCTAGGAAGTTTAGGGTTTAGGGTTTAGGGTTTAGGGTTTAGGGTTTGCAGGCTTTCTTACAGTAGTCAGTACCACTGTCAGACGGTCAGGCTAAGACAATTATGAATATACTTCTTCTCGACATTAAGATCCTTTGTAAGATCCTTTTCATCAAGCTGGCATACTATTCCCTAAACCCCTAAACCCTAAACCCTAAACTCCAAACCCTATTCTTTTGGGGGCTAAAAAATCGGGACCCTACTTTAGTCTAAGGTTGAACCCATGGGCCCGTAACATGGGCCCTTAGGGGATTCTAGGGTCCCTTAAGGGTATATATATAGGGTAGATAGTCGGTATATTCGGGTCCCAGGGTTAAGGGCCCACACTAGGGGCCCATGGGTTCTACCTTAGATGTAGAGAAGCCCCAAACCCTATTCTTTTGGGGGCTAAAAAATCGGGACCCTACTTTGGAGAGGCACTAAAACGCAGGTTCCGAGCTTCAGAGTATGGGGCCGACTTCGGACCTCGTCTTCCATGGGCAGGAAGCTTTAGGGTTTAGGGATTTGGGGGTTTAGGGTTTAGGGTTTTGGGGGTTTAGGGGTTGAGGGGTTTAGGGGTTTAGGGTTTAGGGGTTTAGGGGTTTTGGGCTGCAAGCCAGTACTTAGAGGCCCACCGTTAGTTATAAGTAGGGTTATAAGTAGGTTCATTAGGAGTTAC